CAATAATCAGTAATTGATCAATCTTTGAATGCATAGTTGCCTATCAGTAAATTGATTCTAAACTATATACCATTCGACGTGCTATGACTTGCTTTACAACACGGTATATTTGTTTTCACAATTCTGAATAGGTCATCTAATCCGAAAGAATTGTTTCTCTTTTATCTTTATTTTCTTGACTAAAATTTTATTTAGAAAAACTTTAATTCCTGCAGCTATGCCTCGACATCTATTTCCTATGCAATTAAAAATAATTTTTTTTACTGCAACTGAATTACCTGAAATGATGACTGATTTTTTAGCAACTGTTTCAAAAAAAATTCTTCAATCACATGCATGGGAACCAGTTGATCCTTATGTTGAAGTTACGTATGATACAATGACAGTAGCAACAGAAGCTCGTAATGGTACAACACCTATTTGGGGTGAAGCACTTTATTTAATTGGACGTTTTCCCCCACTTGTACGAACAATTAAAATAACACTTAAAGATCGTGCATCCGTTCAAAAAGATCGTATTATTTCATCAATTTTTATTGATCTTTTTTTAATAAGTGAAAGTAATCCATCAATTGGTTTTTTACCAACATTAGGTCCAACATGGATATTTTTATATGGAAGTCCAAGAGAATATACAATAAGTAAAGATAAAGATGGTCTTAGTGAAGGAATGGGTGAAGCTGTTTGTTATAAAGGACGAATACTTATGGCTATTGAATCTCATCCAGTTACTACAGAAAATACACCAAACATGAATATACAAAAAGAAACTGATATAAAATTTCCTGAAGCAGTAAATATTATTAAAATATTTTCTAAATATTATTATATTTATATAATTTCGATTCATAGCATATATTTCCAAAGAAACGTTCATTTCTCTTATTTGGTTGTATTTATGATGTTAGTATGATTAATAAATCATTTGGTAATGGAACAATCTCTTTTGAATTAAGTATTGGTCCAAGTGGATATTTAAATCCACAAAAATTAGTTGCTGCAATTCATAAGCCTGTTTCATCGTTAACACGTACTTATCAACATGTTTCAATTGATAATAATAAAGATTATTTTCGTTTACCAATTGATTTACAAAAACCAATATTATTTACAAAATATATATTTCATGATTATATCTATCGTATGACATTATCAAATCGTCTAAAAAATGCATCTGCATATTTGGTATTGATTTTCATAAGTTTATTTAAGAAAATTTTTTTTTTCTTATTTTTTAGTATGAACAAATTTGTGAATTTGAATTGAAAATTGATTCTAAGATATCAAATGAAATTCTCATAGAAGAATATCGAAAAATTCAATATTATATTCATACATTACCATGTGGATGTGCTGAACATATAAAAGAACGTGAAATTTTTGGTACTACACCTGTAGTTCATTCGAATTTATACGAATTATTAAATTCTTCTCAATCAACTCTTAAAATGAATCAATTAGATATTAAACGATTTAAAAAAATTCTTAATAATATTCAATCAATTAAAACTTGGATTTCAAAAGAAATTAATTTTGATGTATCACAACGATATAAAATCATTGAAGAATTGCATAAAATAGCACGTGCATTTCAACAAATGGCTACTGATGTAAATATAATTTATACAAGAAAAGAAAAGGATAAAATTATTTTTCTTTTTTTTTTTTTGAAAGGCACAACCATCTTTACCTGATATATTTTTATGGATGATATGTGACTCCAAACGTGTAGCTTATGCACGTTTTCAACCTGAAGATCTTCTTTTTAATTTATGTAAAGGTGAAAAAGGTTTATATAATGGTCGTGTACAAACTATTTTTCTCAAAGTTTGTTATCATTTTTATTTCTTTGTTCTGACAAAAAAAAATATATATATATATATAATTATAATTTATTTTCAGACACCACGTTCAACAGATAAACCATTAAATCCATCAACAAATGCGAAAGTACAAATTTATCTTTGGCTTGGAATTGAAGATCATGAACCATCGATATTTAAACACTTACCTGCTGGTTTTAATATGCCACCATTACCATTACATCCTCAACTGAAATTTATAACGTATAACGGTTAGAAATCAATAGAGAGTTTAAAAAGAAAAACGATAAATAAATACAACAATATATCCCATAGTGGATACTTCGTAGTCCAACTAACAAGAAAGCCTCCTCAGATGTGTTGCATTTCAATTTCAATGATTTTTTGCCTATAGATATTACATAGTGTTCTAATAAAAAATCTAAAAGGATTTGGATTTCTATTGAGATTTGACTGAGATATCGAGTTTTTAATATCTATTTTCTAGCATCCCAGATTTCTTGAAAACTCGAATTTTGCTCTGAAATCTTTTGAAAGCTTCATATCTCAAAGAGACTTTGTTCAAAACTTTTGAATTTTTTTATGGAAGCTAGTCTAGTTGATTTCACTATATATAGAAAGTTTCAGATCAAAGTTTAATAAAAAAAAAAACGAATTTTTCGAAAAACTGGAACTTCTAGAAAATAGGCATATTAAAAATTCAATACCTCAATCAAATTTCAATAGCAGCCGAAATCCTTTTAGGTCTTTTATTAGAAAACTATGTAGCATCTCTATAAACAAAAACTTATTGAAATCGCGAGGGAACATCTGAGGAAGTTTCCTCGTAAGTGATTTTTTCTGGAAGCAAACTTAGATCGATGGGACCATTTCTTTCAGCCCTATTTCTGGATCCGTTAAAATTTTTTCGTGGTGTCGGTTCAGATCCCGATTCCGTTAAAATTAAAATTTGGTCCCGATTATGGCTCCGACGGGACCAGAACCACTTTGTAGTTCCCTAAGCGAACCTTTGCATAGTGTACATCTTTTTCTGATGAACATCGTCATATAGTTCTATGGTGAATATTTTGAAAAGTCCTCATAGTGTCTACGACATGAAAGTTTTACTATATTTTAACAATTGGTAGTTTTCTGAGCACAAAAATACAGGAAAAAATAAGTAAAAATAAGCAACAGTTAATTTTTTATTCAGTTCTAATAGATACCCTTCGGGCTTTTCAAAAGTATCCACTTTAGAGAGGCTATACTGTATATTTTTTTTTAGAACGAACTTTTTATGAATTACGATGTCATTGTTATAAAGCAAGAGCATTAATTACTGCGGATGCAACAGGTTTATCAGATCCTTATTTAAGTGTTACAGTTGGTAATGAGACACAAACAGCACCAGTACATCATCTTGTGTTCATCATTTGTTTTGTTAATTTCTTTTTCTTTTTGTATAGATTCTCTTAGAATCATTATGTCCACAATGGAATGTAACGTTAGCTTTTCAAAATTTGGTGCATGTTGGAAGTCGAGAAACAGCTGAAGAAATTATTGGAAATGTTGTTGTCGAATGTTATGATTATGATGAAGTACGTAGACAGTTTAAAAGTAAAAAAACATGTCAATAGCACGATAATATCAGTGTGGAAATTAAGACTGATCAAGTTATAACTCGAGTCATAACTTTTGATTTATAATTGATCAATTATAATCGATATTAGTCAGAATAATCAGGGTGTGGGTGTGGATGTTGGTATGAATTATGTGTTCAGCTACACCCGCTCTCACACCCACACCCCACCCTCTTTAACCTTGTAGTTTTTCATAGATTTTTTTGCATTTTCTACTATTTATAGCATATATTTTCTACAGACATAAGAAATAACACAGCGAATATTCCGTAGAAGACAGAGTGTAGATGTCTGAAGATCAGTTAATCAAAGCACATAATTAATAGAGAATTTGTAGTTCTATAAAATTTTTTAGTCACCAGCACATGTCAAGAAAGAGAAATATATGAAATTAAAAAGTAAAAAACACTATAATCATGAAACAGTGCTTTTATACCATTACTGTAATGATTAGGAGGAAGATATGACTAATTCAGGAGATAATTTGATTGTTATAGGGTCAGAAAAAAAAGAAGAATGACTCATGCAGATATAGCGAATGATCCATTCTAGTCTGACCGATACCGGTAAGGTAGAAATCGTATCGGTTCAAACTCTGGATTTATTCCTTTTCTATCAAGTTTTTTATAGTCTTGAAGAAATCAGTTTCAACTCAAAATAGTCGATTTTAGTCAGATGACGACAGACTTTTCTTATTGGTTAAGTCTTCTAGGTAATGACTATTTTTGTAGCGCATCTTTAATGAATAATCAAGAAGAAGAAGAATACCTCGCCTTTCAGCTATCTTGCAGTATACGGTG